CAAGCACCTTCGTTTTCCTGTCCAGGTGGTACGCGAAATTACCGCTAACTCTTCTCCCTTCTAATCTCCTTTCATCATGTTTCTTTGAAGAGGATGTCTACAGCCTCCCTGATCTTCCGTTATCTGATATCCTCCCCACATCAGGCCAGTCTCTCCGTTGCATTCCAGTCAATTGTACGACCGGTAATGGCGATCTCTTCAGCTTTCTGCGATCTTTCCGTATCCATTTTTCTGCATATTCGCTGGTGTCTTTTGATGCTTGTACTGATTGTTCTTCTTGTCTCTCCAATGCATTTTTGTTCACAATCCTTGCAGTTTATGCTGTAAACTCCGGATCATTCCAATTTGTTGACTTCTTCATGTTGTGTGGGCAAGCTGGTGAAGAAGGTTGTCCTTTCCCTCAGGATTGTACGAATGTTCCGTTTTCGAGCCAATTCGCAGGAGGATAGACATATTCATCGTTTTTCCAGTTCCTCTTCCTATAACTCAGAATCGGTAAGTCGTTGACTTATTATAACCATACTCAGGAGTATTACAATCCTCATTTCATGAGTATGGTTAGATTGGAAGTTAAGAGTTAATTCAGCATGTGATTTATGTTTCTTGGGCGTTTCCTCGGAGGTTAGTTGATCTTGCCAACGGCTCCAATCCTTTCACTTCGTCTTCTCAACTTGGCTGTCAACAATCCAAACATCCACTGGTCGGTCATTTTTTCCAACGACTGAGGCATCTTGACGCCATTGAGCGAGTTAAACGGATCGAATAGCGCTCGTCAAAAGAGTGTATTGAGGGCAGACATGCTCGTCCGCTTGTATATTAATGTGTGTGTGTGTGTGTGTGTGTGCATTAAGTATCAAAGTCCAGCTTACCTCCGCTGGCCTGGTGATACTCGTAGAGTGCGTAACGTCCCGTTGTGAGCACGTTGAGGTCAGGATGGAACTTCTCGACCAACACATTCACAAGGCTGCGGGCGGTTGCCGTGTTGGATATGCGAATGCACTTGCTCTGGAACCGATCATGTTCATCAGGCCGAAAGAAAAAGCGCACCACTCCAAAGTACTCGAGATTCTGAAGTGATATGATTCCGAAGAGAATAAAAAAACGTGTTTGTATGGAAGATCAGAACAAAAAGTGTAATCACGTATGACACCTCTGGTGGAAATAAACTTATAGGACGCCAGGTTCTCGAGGTCTTTCGGTTGTGGGTCAATTTTATATTCTCGGCCTGTCCTAATTTCTCTTTCAGGAGCACTACAGCGAAGGTGGAAAAGAGTGATGCTGAAGTGGAATCCACCGAATGGCACTGGCAAATAGTCTTTTGTCAGAGGTAAGAAGCAGGGTATTTCAAGTTGGCAAATGCTGTATGAGTGAGCCTACAGCATATTTTGGCAACTATTGTCATCCAAAGCCTAGTACACACAAGACGATATAAAATAAAGACAATGACTGATTGGAGGCCCACCACATGAGACGAAGCTTCGCACAGTGAACAAAAATTTCATCCACCAAATGGCAGCCTCAAATAAATTAAGGATTCAATAAGACTGTCATATGGCCTGGAATACAGCTAAATTTAAAGTTTGGATATTGCCGTAAATCACTCGGTACGATGACATTCTTAATGGAAGAAAAGTAAAACTGTATAGGTAGTTGATAAGGTTTAAACCAAATCAAAAATGCATTACTTGCACGGACAAACCACTATAAAAGCTCATGAACGAAGATCGCTTGGAAAAATAGAACACAAAAGTGGACTATGCTTACTCAAACTAACGTGTTGTGTCAATAAAAGACCTAAAGTAGCCCTTGAGTGTTGACAAAACCGGAGAGAGATAAAAGGTGTATCAGTGACAAGCGATAGTCTAAGCTCCAAAATTCAAAACTTTAAGTTAACTTCAAAATTGGAAAAAAGCGAACTTAAGGCAGTTAGGCCAAAATATGTATAGAAGAAACTTGACTTCTTTTACATCTTGTCGCAATAAAGGGTCGAAGAGTTTTATACACAATCTGGTGATGTAATCTAACTGTGCCTCAACAACGAGTTTATTTGCAGAACAAGAAGTAGTAACCATAGTTTCAAAGTCAATATCTCACTTAATATCTTTTATTAGCATTAAAATTAAGAATAAGCAGTTGAAGGTGATCTACTTAGCATCGTTAACAATACATTACCCCAGTATCTACAAGCCCTGTCTACAGGCAGGAAAACAGACTGTCAAAATTTTTGAAATTTAGCTCCTAGTTCTAGTCTAACAAGAAAAAGTTAAAACAGAGAGACCAGCTTTGATTTAATACTAAAACCTTAACGTTTGGAAAAAAATGATGTTATGTAAGAAATGCTGCAACTACTACTCAATGGGAAAGAATCAGGTAAAAGTAAAATGAAGCAACCTCATTATTTTATTTAATCAAGTATAAATGAATGCACTTAGCCAAACTTTTCTATAGAATCTATCTAAATAAATCAAGGGGACAGGGTTCCGAAATAAAAAAAATTAAACACAATTTATACTTAATTGAAATTTATTTATACACATATTTATTGCAGTTGTATATTTGATATATTTTATACCATTTATTATTATATTTATATTTACATACGAATATATATTTATATAGACAGATTACGCTTTTCCGTAGGAGTGAATACATATAGTCTTTTAATAGTAAATTTCCACTTATTCTTGAGGTTGATGTTTAGTAAGCGATACTATGCTCATAAAAGTTGTGAAGCTTTATACCCTGTCTAGATCTATAAAACTTAAATGGACAGTTCACCAAAAGCCAAAGAATTTACTTTCCAACTAAGAGTGAC